AACAATCTAATATTGGATCATTCGAATTTGACTAAATTCATTCGATCAATATAAGATTTGATTGTACAGCAGCCTTGAAACTTTTGAATTTCAGGTCGGAATGAATTAATAGCTCGATATATCAAGATAAGGTGTGGCAAAACGAGGACACGGAAACAGGTTTCATCACATATTCAAGTTTTAGCGCGGAAGAAAGCTCGCGAAACTCAGGCTAAGCTGAAGGTGTGTTCAGTTGAATGTAAAGCTATTTTAAAATCAAATGTGTTAGTTCATATTTGAATACGTATCGACATTCATTAGTTCACTTTCAAAAATTTGAAAAGTATGAAATTTAGAAGAATTGATACAATTTGAATTTTAAGTCAGCGGAAGCATCTCCGCCATCTGCTGTTAGCGCAACTGTTCCTGGTACCAGTGCTGAAAAAGAAAAACCAATGTCAGCCGCGTTGAACAATCTATCGATGCTGGCGATGAGTAAGCAAAATGTATTACCTCGGGCGCTTTACCCAACGGTATGGCCCGCGGGTTTTCCAGCTCCAACTGCGGCACAGACCGCGTTTTCAGCTCAAGACGACCTCAAAACTTATCAGCGTATCGTCGAGTAAGTTTCTTTCACAATATTAGAAAAATTAGATAAGCTCGAAATTGGTATATTTTATTCGTCTAATGATTAAAATTCAATTCCGAATTAGTGTTCCGTCTTATACCAGAATCGAATTCCAGGCTAGAAATTCTTGTAACCTTTTATTTCATCGTATATATGTGCCAAATCATTGTTTTCAGAATAAATGGCTACAACAATGGTCAAGTGTCGTTGAATGGGCAGTCACCAGCCGAAAAGTTGTCGCCTGTGACATCTCTTGATGACCGTGCTATTGCTTCTTCAATGCTTACCTTGTGCGGTTTCACAGCTTATGTTGAACCCATTCCAAACAACGTTGCTTCACGGGTAGACCTCGTGCGAATACCGAAACTTGCCGATGAACCACTCGAGGTAATGTTTTCAACACTTTATATTAGCAGTAATACAAAATAATTAAAGTAATACGTGAGTTTACAATCCTTACCATATATTAAGAAGGTATATTTCGCCAAAAATGGCCTTATTCCGTTACTCCCAAAGTCTCAGGAAGTTGGCCGAATATTTGAGGGAAATTTGAAAATTTTAAAAATTGGATTTTATAGATGAATTAAATGACTTTCTGGCCGTACACTTAAAGTGCACTGGAATTATTCGAGGTCACTTCATTTCTCAGCGCACTGACCTATTGTCACTAAGCATCAATACTTGCATTGTAATTATTCCAAACTCTCCTATGAAGAAATTGCGGTCCCCATGTCACGTGATACGCATAATAATTCACTGAATGAGGCTATGTTAACTTTTTTTAGGTATCATGCTGTAATGCTGGTGGAATTGTACGGTTCAGGTTTTTTAGATCATCCAATTATATTTTGATTAATGCTGATTTCCCTGTTTATAATCCTTCTCTAACTCACTATCAGGTCGAGAAAGCAGGAAGAATAACGATTGTTATGAGAAGGATTACGCGTAGAATTTGAGGGCGGGGAAGATGTCATGAAAATGTGAAAATGTCAAACCTTATGGGAAATTTGACATTTAGTAATGTTTTTGTAATGTGAAAGCCGTTCAAAAGGAAAAAGATTATAGCTAAAGAGTTGACGAAGAATGAATGATTCTTCTATAAGGGCTGAAAGATTTGTTAAATTGACCATATCACTCTATACCATTGCAGTGGAAATCACCGAAAATTCAGCTGTCGTGTGATTCAGAAATTACTCTTCGTATTTCTCTGTTTGACTAACGGGGATCAAAATCATACCTAGTTTTATTACTTATTTTCAGACTTTCAAGCTGGAGGATATAGCAGAGAAATATCCACCTGTGCTCGGCGAATTATTTGCTGCAGGGCCTCGTGACGGTTTTTTCCTTGTGAAATGTTGGGCTAACATCGAGTTCACTTTACCCGATGATAATTCTGCTCTTTATGCAGTTGATAGCTTCTATGAAAGTACCCAACGATTTGATATCACAGTATCAACAAAAGTATGCTCGTTTGGCAAACAAGTGATCGAAAAAGTTGAGGTAGGTTTAAATTTTCAAAAATTGAATTTTCTGGAATTATATCGTAATAAGTGATGGTTTAGTCTCGTACTGTATTTGCTCTTCATTCATTCTTCCATTTAACTATTCTAAAAAAAGTAGGGCTGATGATTCTCAAAGCTTATCGAATCTTGAGGCTTCAATTAGTATGTAAAAGTGAGTAAGCTATTGTCAATGTAAAAGCCTCAATTTGTAATTATAAGATCTATATCGGATTGAGCGCTTTTAGATGTCACTACTTTTGTTTTTAGTTAAAAGTAGAAATCAATGTGCCAATAGTTCTTTGTTAAAAGCATTGTAATCTTTTCCAGATCTATTCACCGATTGAAAACGGAAGAAAATTTAATTTTCGATTGGAAGGATCGCCGATGTGTGAATATATGGTGAAATTTGTCGCAGAGCTGAAGAAACTGCAAAGCCATGACTTAATGAATAGCGTGTTATATAATTTCACAGTATTACAGGTAACATTGGCGTGGTGCAAATTTCAATAGGTCTGTGATCCATTTGCTCGCCAGTTAGTTTCTTGCATCATTGATATTTTTGTAAATCAAATTTCTGCACTGTGTTTGCGACAAATTGCTAGTTTGCCGAAAAGTTGGTGAAATGATTACATAGGAATAGGAAGTAACTTAATTAATTTAATCATCGAATTTTTTTTAGCTGAATAATTTGCAGGTGGTGACAAATCGAGATACGAAGGAACCGTTGATGGTGATCGGTTTTGTTTTCGAGGTATCACCGGTACCAGAATCGACGTGTCGTTTGTACAGACTTGTTGCAGGCTAAAGAAATTCCCATCACTGTTAGGATATGTCAGGTTTGATTCAAGTTGAAATTGAGAATCAGGAAAAATGTCCAATACCGGTGGTAAAATATATTTTGTATTTGTTGAACATTATATGAATTATTTTTTTAAATGTGTCTCTTTAAGCTTGCCTTTTAGCAACATTGCCCACTTCCTATGAACATTATGCTTTGATACCTAAATTGTTCTCACTTCTGAAGGCGCCCAGTTTATCACTCTTTATGATTGTTTCTTTGTTCATTGCTTTTTTTTTTGTTCTTTTTGTTTTTCTTTTTTTAAATTCAGTTATTTTTGTACATAATAGATCTGGGCTTGAAATACTGATGAGCTTTTGCAACTTTTAATTTATTTACAGTAATATCTACAGTAAGAGACAATTCGAAGTCATCGTGACTAATTAGTACTTTTCGTAATTAATCAAAAATTATCCAACATAGACATTCATTTCGAGAATAATCAGATGCAAACACATTTTGGCTTCATGTTGAACTATCTAAGATATTAATGTCTCTACTGGAACTATCTGCTCATGATCTTCAAGCTCATTTGTCCAGAAAAAAAATTTTTAAGATATTTTTCTTGTGTTTTGCAAGAGAAAAGATTTCAATTTATTATTTTTTCAGGATTGAATTCTTTTCTTTCTTAAAAAAGAATGCAATTTTTGCCTTTTTGTCACCAAGCAGATGTATTTATATGTGCATTTTGTTCAACTTTTTTCCCTTTGTCTCTATTTTTCAATTTGCATTTATCATTTTGTTAAATGAAATATACGTGTTTCCATTTGTTCTTCCAATTACATGTTATAATGAAAGTGAATTTTTGCAAATGTTTATTTCTCATTATTGTTATATTATGATGATATCATTTGTAGAGATCCGAATAACGACGCTGATGTCGTATAATGGATGAAGATGTGATATAGCTTGAGATATTTCAGCAAATTGTTATACTTCATCAAATGTATTTAATGAAAAATAAAAAATAAAAGGAACGATGTAATTGTTATTTAATTAATGGAACTGGCGCCTTCTTTTTCGTTCCTTTATTTGAATTTTCCAAAAGGTAAGATTCTTTTTAAATTTGAAATTGCTAAAATTTGACGTGGTGGTTGAAGTTCCAAACTTCTGCTACCAACAATACATATGTTGTTGTCCTTCCGTAAACACTGACAATTTATATTTGTATAATTGTGTAAATAAAAATTTTTTTGGTGAATTGATAATGTGGTGTGTGTCGAAATTTTGAAACAAAACTATAAAGGAACTAGGATTTGAAAGCATCAGTAACTGTTATTTTGATATAATTGTTACTATTTTTTAACGCTGAAGGGAGCTTGATTGCCATATCAACGCTGATCAACCGCAAAAAGCTGATTAACCACAAGAAATGTGACTAAATTCAGTTTTTTTTTTTTAATTAAAGCTTAATTTACAAAGCTATCAGGTTTTAGTCTCTTGCTCAAAACTTAAGAGTTCCTAAAGAATTGTTTATAGAAAACCCGACAGGAATTAAGTTTTATTAAGTAGGATAGGGAGGATGGAATATCGAGAGTCGAGAGGGACTTCGTGACGACGAACATTTTGAAAAGTTTAAAGCCCTCAAACTTTATCAAGAACCTAAATTTAGTCGCATTTCCTTCCTTCGTCCTTTTCTCTTCTTTGCATAGGAACCAATTTCATTCACAATAAACGATTAAATTTTGTATAATTACGATTCTTTTTGTTGGTTTACATTACAGTTTCAGAATCCAAACGCTCTATTCATTACTTCTTTTGATTTCTTCCTTTTATTGGTTTCGTCCTTAAGAAGTCTTGCAGATATTTATTGAAAATGGGACGAAATACGCCACAAATTTCATTTTGATAATCGGTGGTAGGTCTGTGCAGCTAAGTTAATATTTCATGGGATATTCTTGTTGGAATTGATCGCTGACTCAAAATTAAATTTTGCACTGTCGTTCTAAATTGATTTAAGTTTTAAAGTTCCGAAACAATAAAATATTTTAGGTCGGAAACAGTTTTAAAGATATGTTTTAGACATAATATTGATAGTAATAATGGTAGTGTTAATGATAACAGTAACTGTGGTATTTACTGCTTTTGGAGTAATTAGGGAAGCCATAACAATAAGTTGAAATTTTACGTTTTTTCTCGAGATCCTTGACTTATTCAAACATCAATGAATAAACATGGAAAACTGATATTTTTTCTTTTTTCTTTTAACGACCTACATCCATTAGTATCTGTGGAAGCTTTATTTGCTGCTGAAAATCAGTTGCCGGTGACAGTGACCTTTTCTTGCCAGCAGCTGCCAAGTGTTGCATGACCTGAATGAATGAATAAATATATTGACCTTTTAAACGGATAAATTTGAAGATTTCAAAACCACCATCGACTACTGTATCTATGTCGTCATGAAAACAACGGTAAAATGCATTGTAATTAACTGCACAAATGTAATGGTCACGAACATCGAGTTGTTCAGCATATTGATCTGCTGGACTTAACGCAGGTCGTTTACCAATATTTTGCAGAGACAACAGGTCATCTAAACTATCGTGTAATTCCATTGCTGGCGATCGGTCTCCAAACGATCGTTTATATCCCTAAAGTGTTATGAAAAAGTCTTAAACGATGATTTTCAACTCGAAAAATAATCTCTTTTTCAAGGAAAACTGAAAATTTCAATTTCACTTTACTGGCATTAACCGGGCGGAAAAAGGTAATTTGGAAAATGTTGGAAATTAGTTCAGTGAATGTGCACATTACTAAAAATTATGAAGCCATTTATGTTACAACGGTGCTTTACATACCAATTCATTAAGGCGCAAAAGGGAGTTTATGCTATCTTCGAGCTGTAATGCTGGTGACAGTTGCTTCTTCTGCCGGCTTCCATAACCGCACACCAAGTCACCAAAACATATTGCCAGAGCTGTGATGGTGGCCAAACCTATTAGATACATGCTAAAAATATTGCAACTTATACATTTTGTAGGGCTTTACAGTGACGTTAAAAGGATTTCCGCTCTGCAAAATGGATATAATGTTTAACCAGAATGAGCGCTCTCTGGAGGTTAACTTGGATCTACTAGAGATTATCAAAATTACGAAAGTGTATGGGTGATTGTTTTGAAATTTGTGGCGTATTTCGTCCCATTTTCAATAAATATCTGCAAGACTTCTTAAGGACGAAACCAATAAAAGGAAGAAATCAAAAGAAGTAATGAATAGAGCGTTTGGATTCTGAAACTGTAATGTAAACCAACAAAAAGAATCGTAATTATACAAAATTTAATCGTTTATTGTGAATGAAATTGGTTCCTATGCAAAGAAGAGAAAAGGACGAAGGAAGGAAATGCGACTAAATTTAGGTTCTTGATAAAGTTTGAGGGCTTTAAACTTTTCAAAATGTTCGTCGTCACGAAGTCCCTCTCGATTCTGCGCTCCACTTAATCAAATTTGGTTTTTACCAACTGGCTGTACTATTACAGACGACCTTTCAAACTGATAAGCCTTAACCAAGCCCGTTATAAGAGATCCATGTTAACAGCTATGGATGTGACAAATAGGATAATCAGCAAAGAGTACCCAAAAGAAATGAAACTACATTTTTGAACAAGACATAGCAGAATAGCTAGGAAGGGCGGGAGGGATGTGTGTGACACATATAGGCGCAATGGGACACTATACATGGGGGTGGTACAATGAAAAACACATGACGTCGATGGACAATTTTCGCAGGAGAAATTATTTGGACATCTTAGTTACAGTATTTTCCCTGCTCTCGAAAATTTAAGCAATATGTTCTGTTGCTGACAAACCTCTTCACTAGAAGCATTAAGATTAAAGATGTTGCAAAGAACATTTTGTGAAAACAGGATTAAATTAATTTCAGAATAACAGAAAACTTTTGCTTTCGTAAGCTTTCATAAACAACAGTGAGCAAGAATATGCAATCCATGTGTTTAGGGGGAAGTGAATCATGAAGGTAAATATTTTATTTTCAAGTTAATAACTAATTTACTTTAATGGCCGGTCGGTAGCACGAGTTTGCTAGAAAATCATAAGAAATACTCGTTTCAGCCAAATTCCCACAGCAGAACTATCATTAAAACAATCAGTGCTTCCAATTAATTACTTTTGTTCCATCACAATAAATACTACAAACGTTTGAAAAAAGGGTAAAAACAAACTTATTATGGAAGCATTAATTATGGAACTTAATTACATCGGAAAAAATTACCTACTTCTGATGATTCCTTCAAGATCTGTGATCTTTCTTGAAATGTTTGTTGCAAAGAAAATAGTACATCTGGTCAATATTGTTGTGAAAGCTAAGGAAATGTTTTCTTCCATCCTTTCCCTTCCGAAAAAAAAAATTAATTTCTAAAATTGAAAAAATAAAAAATAAAAATCAATTTATTTCATTTAACCAAATTTCTCATAAGTTTTTAAGAGGTCTTTTTTCCCACGAATGGAAGAATTTCATAAAGAAAAGTTTCTCTCTACTTTTCTCGTTTTCTATAGCTCGACTTGTTTATTTTACTGTTTTCATTTAAGCTATTGAGCTACTGAACGCTTCCACAATGATTTTAATTAAGTTTCAAAAAACTACTAGCCACTAAGCAACCACTTACACTTGATGTATAGGTTGTTTGACATATGGAGATAAATTATCAATTTGTTTTTTGTTGCTATACCTGCAATATCATAGCCTGTTAAATTACTGATAATAGTAACAGTGGCACTAATTTGATATATTTTAACCAAAAGGAATCTTTGACTATACTATTTCTTAAATTAACTCTCCGGAACCTTAAAAACAACTGATAAATTTAAAAAATCGAAAACTTTCAAAAGGACTTCACTTATCAGTAAAGTGATTACTGGCAGAAGTTAATGAGAGAGTTATGTTAATAATGAGAAAAAAGTTTAATATTAGCAAACAACTCAAGAGTAATTAGTATTAAAGTGTGAACTGCACAGCAAAATATGGCATTTCAGCGTTATTAGTAAAGCGATATCATAAAAACAGAAATGCAAGAAATAAAAGCAATAAACATTGAAAAAATGGGAAAGATTTTTTCATTATATAGTTTTATTTCCGGAAAAAAGGCTAACAAACTTGATTAAAAATTCGATTAAAAGAAAGAAATTAATTCCGATTATCACCAGAAGGAGCCTTTTTTATCGTTAATTTAAGGATTTAACTTTTTTTTAGAAATGGAACATTTCTTTAACTTTTTTGGCAACATTGTTTGCAAAATTTTGATTGATTGTATTTTCTAAGAATAATTTTTCCGGTAATTTTCATTGCAACAAACTTTTTAAAAAAGATAATAGATTGTTATTGTGCAGCCTGAAGAGTTATTAGGGATAAAGTTGTGCTTTCATAAGTAACCAAGTTTTATAATTAATTAATAGGCTCAATTATTTAGCCATGCTTTCTTTGAACAGTTATTCTTTTTCTTTTAAATGGTGGTTTCGCTTTTTGTCAATTACTTTATCCATTTTGAATCAAAAGATTAGCAAAAAGAATGAAAAGTTAATCGATCACCTCTAATATTATGAAAGCTGTGATCTTCCTGCTGCAAAGTGCAAATATTTTGAAAAGGGAAACTAACTTTTACTTTGAAAATTTAAACTGGAAATACAGTAATAGTAACCCACAGTTATTTTGCGTTATGTTCAGGTACATGGGAACATTGAATTCTGAAAATAGATTTAGATGGTCTTCTAGAACTTGTTGAATTTAAAATGTCATATTTCAGAATCTAAAATATACTTGGCAGAAAACACATATCCGCACTTTGTTCGATGAATTTTAATTTTTGCTTTATCCCGATTTAAATCACATTTGAATAACAGCATTAAATTTAATTTGCATTTGATTCTAACTTTACAATGATAAATAAATAGTCTTAGTGATGCTAACGATAGTGAATGATTGATTAATTATATCATTGAATGTTGATGGGAAAATAAATCATTACAGCAAGACATTTCTGAATTTAAAGCAGTCGGTTGATATTATCATATGTAATGTGCTAATTATAACAATCATCACAAAGGCTATGTTTACACTTCAAAAACACAATTTCTATCAAAAATTTGTTATTCAATACGATTTCACAAAATGTTTCAACAAAATTTGATTGTTTGAAGAGATTTTTATGCAAATAACGATACAATTATTTCTTGTCAAGAAGGCATAAAGAGCAATTAATTTCATACTGATTATCTATCGTATCATTTTTATCCTCAGTTAATTGTTATGATTGAGAGAATACTTTTATTAAATTATTCTCATTATTAAAGTTATTTAAATTAGTCTGGATTAATCTAAGAGAATTGAAGTGATTAGATAGATTTGCCCACAAAATGACATCTTCATTAACTGCGAATGTTTCAAGCTTTGATAAGTACGACAATTAAAATGAAGTATATTTCAAATATCCCATCAAATTTCGCTAAAAATAATTTGCTATACCATACTGTTGTCACTTAGTTTGTTGATTGGAACCGACATTCTACTTTCGAGCACTCGACATTTGCTAAACAAAGTAACGAATTAGTCAATGAGTTAGCGCTTTACGTTTCTAAAAGATAAATCTTTTAAGATGCAAAAATGTGAAAAACGAATGCTGTGATTAAAAAAAAGAGAAATTCATGATAGCTGCAATGAAGCGAAATAAGAAGTCTTTATGGAAAATCTATTCATCTTATAATTAAAAGAACTTTGTGTAATTTTAACAAAAATTTATTCATTAAATTTATACGCAACTTTCAACAACCAAAATAACGCTAAATCATTGAGAATAATATCAGATTCATTTGATTGTACGACGATACTTTATTGAACATTTAAAATGTAAAATGAATAGAATAGGCTGATCAATGATCATTAAGTTTTTTCAGATATTACATATTCTCTCTCGAAGATTCTCGAGATATGTATCACCTTGAAATATTGAAGGTGTGAAAATTAATCGAAACTATTTGTTTTAAACGTTCGTTACCCTCAGTCGTATGCGGAAAATTTGCTGTTTCAGGTGCTGTTTACCTTCAAAAGCGAAAAAATTCGCCCCTCTCTCATTGCTCATAAACTGTTTCTTTTTGACTGGATACTTTTCCGATTCAGTACTGAAATTTATCACCAACTACTCATTTTTGCAACTTCATCTCATTCATCTGATCAAAAATGTACTGGTATAAATAACAAAAAACAAACTGATAAATATGATAAATGAGAAACTAATTATCAATGAAAAATCGCTTTAGTATGAATGAATGGGGTGGGACAGATTGATACCCCGCAATCAAAATCTATCAGAAGAGTGACGAATAATGAGCATTGTTGTAAGAGATGTTTCGTTAGCTGAGTTGTTTATACTGATAGAGTCAGTTATCTTTACTTACTGATGAAATGGAAAGATAAAGCAATGGGATGAGTTATCTGATGAAATGATAAAAACGAACAGGAAAGTGATATGACATTAAACGATATAACGAAATTCCTAAGGGAAAATGACAAGCACAAAAAGAATTCTTTGACAGAGTAAAGTGAGCAATACATTTCACTTTTTTGTCCCACATACTTTCAAATTCAAATTGCATTATCTAAACGGAAATGAACGGATGAATTTTTGCAAAATAATAGCTTGAAAAAGAGAAGGAAGAAATGTCCATTTGGTTAACTTATCATGATTATTCAAATTAGAATCCAATATTCATCCATTAATTTATGATTTGCTAAACTAAAAAGGGTGTATGTTAGTCTAACAAAAGCTTAAATTATCATCAAATTTATTTGACTAGATTACCAACCATACCTTTGCAATAATAAATTTTTCAAAATGAATCTACGACGACCTGAATTTCCTAAAATTGAGATGCTTTGTAAATGTTGCATTATTATCTTTATCATTTCTTCCAAAGAATTTGAAAAGGTTATTTTTAGAAAGCAGCAGGTGTCTCCAAGCAGGTGATTCAAAAAAACTCCAAATGCAATTCGTTGGACGCTTGATATATTTATATAGAATAATTGAAAAAAAAAGTCTATAAATAACAAAAAAGCCAAATAAGTGATTGCGAAAGTGAATCAAGACATTATTATGAACTGGATTAAGAGGAAAGCTTAATAATCTTAAATATTTGTATCTGAAAAATCGAATTAAATGTTTTTGCAATTTTTTTTGCTCTTATATTTCTAATATTGTATCGTACATCGTGTATTAGTCGAATAGAATGAATCTTGAATTTCATCAACTTTAGACACTGCCAAGGATATTTTATCTCGACCTGCGACATTCACTTGGCCAGTTGACAGCAAATTATGTTATTTAAATATTATCCGAAAAAAATTTTTAATTAAAAGAGGAATTTGATAAACTTTCAGTATTATTAGTTTCAATATTATTTACGTCAAAAATTCATTCGACATTGAAACAACGAATATTTTTACAATGAATTTATTTGTCAATCAAATCAACGGTAGTGACCAGCTATTTAGGATTTCAGTAAATGAATTCTGATCTTGTTGATATACTTTGTTGGTACTCAACTTCATAACTTGAAATTAAAAATAATTCAGGCAGCATGAAGCAGGTGACTTTCCGTATTTTTGATTTCCGTTCTATAATATGCTGACATCCGTAAGATACTTTTAGATACATTCAATTCCGTTTTAGTGGTATGGGTTTAATTACATATGGAACAAATGTCAACCGCTAATGCCAGCCAAATACGGTCAATCTGACAACATAATAATGCACTTTGTTTTGCACTGCAATCAATCAGAAGTATTTCCTTTCGACAGTCCAACTTCTGCTTTCAATAAAAATAAATTAGTGAAAAGGCCGATCTTTAGAGGTTCCGATTTCTCTTCAACTCAATTTTATTCCCAAATTTAATAAAATTTGTTATGGTGTTATTTTCTGTTTCGCAATGATTGCACATACATTTACTATGCAACAATGAATTTAGTACGAGCAGATGGATATCAGTAAATTATATGGTTATATGATTCATTCCAATTTATGCCTTCTGGTATTTACATGATTGTGTTATGCTTCCAATTTAGTAGCTAGGTAATTAATGCAGCAGCTAACACATGATGCATTTGAATAAGAACTTCACATTACTGGGGATACTTCCTGCTTGTTCGTAAGTTTCGCGGCACAAATAATATTTATTTTTACTAACAAGCGAGATGTAATTAGTGAGTAGTCATCGTAGAAGTGTGACATTGTATTCAGAATTCATATGTAAACAACTGATAATCTTCGACATCCGCTATCCTTGTTATGCTTTCGAAATTTCAAAATATATAAAATTTTCGGACTTCAAAAGGTGCTTCAAAAAGACTCTACTGTGCTCTAATTTTTTGGGGACAACTCATACATACACAGTTGCTGTTACTACTACTACTACAAAAAAGAAGGCTTTCCAATGCAGTGGAAAGAATCATTACAGTTAGCTCAAACCTGAAATATTCAACTTTTCAATCTTTCATAAGCAATCTGATTAAAAATCTGGAAACGAAATTTTAAAAGAAAAAAGGAAAGGTGAGAAAAAACAAAAATTACATAGACAGAAGTGGACAACAAATGCAAAAGAGATAGAAACTCGATCATGGTTAAATCACTGAAGAAAGGAACCAATCAAACAATTTTAATACAACTTTGTATTCTTTCTCGAGTCCGTTCCCAAAAGCAGATAGAGGTAATATTTTCTTCCTTCACTATATCATTAACTTCAGGAAGCTAATCAATATTTAAGCGCACAAGTGCTTCACATTAAATTTGAAATTTCAATTGAAGTCATAGTGTTCTCATGATTATATCCTTCAACAAGAAGGAAAGCCAATATAGAACATAACACGAAGTTTTCCAGAGAGAACTAAACACACCGACATACCGAAAACCGATTCACATAATTAATATGATTTGCAGTTAGCCACATCCTTCTCCTTTTTCAGACTAAACTAACGCATGCAGAGAATTCAAAGAATTCCCAAGTTTACTCTAAAAACCTTTTTAAAACCATTTGTTAATTGTTGATAAAACTGCTCCCACTGCTCAATACTTCACTTCTTCGAACTTTTTAAAGCTTTCCTTAAATAATTGCAAACTCCGGAACTAACGCTTTAAAGCACAATCACTTTAACACAGTAAGTTGAAAAATGAGCATCGTCATGATGTTTTCTAAACCTTTCATCTTTTAATAATACACATCATCCCGATTACGGTGCAACTCTGAGGCTCTATTTTTGATCAAATCGAGCTAGCAAATAAAGTAAAAGAAAAACCAATTGGTTATCCTAGTATATGATATATCATAATTTTTCACAGTGTACGAATCTGCAAGCTAAGTACATCCGTTTTAAGATTTCTGCACCTAGCCTAATATTTCTTCAGTCACCGATGCATGATTACTCACCGATATCTGTTGTACGCTAGGAAAACAACATATCAAGTCTGACACATTAAATTTTTCTTCTGAGTGTAAGTGCTGCACATACTTGGTTTTCAAAATGTTAAAAGTACAAAGCTGATAACAAATTTAATGTGAACAACAACTTGTTTTGCAAATCACTTAGAATACAGAATAAAGAAAAATTTCAAATATTTAGCTCATTGCAACAGCATTTGTTGGCTGTGTTCCTTGACGGTTCTTTGGTTTTGCTACAGTTCCTTCACGGAAATGGTTTCTGAAAAAAATGCAACCGATAAAATTGAGTGTGGTAAGTTCCTACAGAGTAATAACTTAGCAATAAAAAAAGAACGGTGTCAACCTTAAGCTTATGAAGCTATAAACTAAGTGATAAATTTCTGTTCTGTGGCCAGTGCTAACGACAAAACCAGTGCTTTTAAACTGGAATATCGTGAAATAGACGAGAACTGAGAGTGTACCGACTCCCACCGTATAACTTCTTTGAATCAACTTGAAAGAGTGTTAAGTAATAAGTGATAACACACTCATAACTAGAGAATACATTCCTACATAAAAATTTCAAAACTATGATCATTACTACAGAAAAAAAAGACAAACCTGAAACGACGTCTCACAATTTTGATATGACGCATACGACCAGTACCCGTTGTATGCCGTCTGATTGCTTTCGCTGACCATTGATACGTACGTTTACGAGCAGATGGATAACCACATGATGCGCAACGATGTTTTTGAATATGATACGATGAACGACCGCATCGACGGCACAACGTATGGGTCTTATTATGACGCTTACCAAAAGATGAAGTACCCTTTGTCATTACTGAATAATCATTATATTCATAGTTGATTGTCCGACAAAGGTATTCTTCTTGATAATATTTTTAAGAAAGTCTTAATAGCATCTTTAACATGCAAAAAATTCATGTACTCATATAAGATAATCAGTCCCTCTCCCACTTCTGCCACATCAAAAGCTACATAATCCCAACTACTCTTAGTCATTTCCGAACAATCTACAAAAAATTGATAGTTGTTGGTTGATAAATATGCTCTTTATAACATCTTCAACACGAAAACAATGCTCACATAGGACAGTCAGCTCTCTCACTTACCCCTACTATTATCTCATCGACACCAAAGTCAAAGCTGCCAACAATCCACCCAACAGTGATTCCCGACGAAGCCCCCAAAAACTCTGCCATAAACCAGACGAGAACAAGCAAGGAGCGATTTGCAAATAGACGGTCCCGATCGGCTCTTGGAACATGTGGGGCTGATGCATCGGTCGTATTATCTTGAATGTGTTATGTTCGTGGATTAGTTAGCAAGGGGAATGATACTAGTGTGATAAGGTGATTACAATATTCTCATCTAGTTTATCACTGAAGGGAAAGGGAGGAAGAGGTAAGAAAGGGAGAGAGAGAACCAAAGAGTGATTGTTTTTCACACTTTTTGTTGAATGTTGAATTGTTTTTACGATGTTGCTGATGTGTGTTTCAATGCTACACTGCTCGTTCTTGAGGTCTATTAAAGAGAAATGAGGTAGAGAGAGGGATAGATGCTTGGAAATGATTAGGTCATTTGGTTTTTTTCGTTTTCTCCGCTAACTGCTCTTTACACTGTTTTCAAGTTAAAAAGTTGTGTTCTTTGCAGCTCTGATTCAATTTATGGTTCAAATCAAATATATTCGTATTGTTCCTTTATGAATATGAGATTAGTAAACAGTTCCGATACAGTCACAAAATCTTCATTGACAGAAGAAATAGATTAAGGCTGACTTTACTATAGAAACACTTGTTTGGAAAACGTTGAAAATTTTTCTTTGATTAAGTGAAGTTTGACCAAAAACCATCCACCACAACACTTTCGGCACTTATTGAAGGTACGGTGTAATGGATGATTTTTGCGATATTGGGATGTTTTGTCCATGGATTATTGGGAAACATTTTCCAATAATGTTTTTCTTTTAAATAAACAACGTGTGGAATTCTCTGAAAAAGATCAAACTTATATGATAGAGCTCGTAAATAAAGTAGTACTAAAATTTCTTACTCATAATCTTATCTAACTGCAAGTAAAAGCGTGCGATTCGAAACGGTCTCTGCCCTATTTGTTTCCTTTATCTTTAAAGTTATCTTCTTGGAACGAAGCAACGACAAAATGTGCAGTCCAATCAAAGTGATAACGGTGAGCACAAAACCGTATGAAGGGCAGAAACCAGGTACTAGCGGTTTACGTAAGAGGGTAAGTTAATCCTTTATTGATCTCTTTATTTTTATCCCTGACCCAACAACGTAACAGTTTGGTTCGATAAACAATGATTCAGTTTGAAGGAATAAATCTCATCTTGCTTTTATGTACTCTGGTTTTCCAAAGTTTCATGTTCTATAATGTTCAAGAACATTAATAAATCAGGAGGCAAGAGAACCACCACTATGTTTAAGGTTCCAGAATTCCAACAAGAAAATTATACAGAAAATTTCATCCAGTCAACCTTAGATGCTGGCTTAGGTGATAAAAAAAAAGGTGCAACTCTGGTAGTCGGAGGCGACGGCAGATATCTTTGTCCAGAAACAGTCAATATTATCATTCAGATGGCTGCAGCTAATGGAGTATGTTCACTTCTTTTTATTAATTTATATTGTGAATCATATGTTTGTCAGAAGAGAACAGCAGATAATACGCGAGAACTAGTCGAAATTGATTGTTCTGTAATTGTGCTACCATTAAATTTCCACTACTTCTCTATTATTCTCTTTTAGTTACGTAAACTGATTGTTGGGCAAAATGGCTTCCTCAGTACACCAGCCGTTTCATGCATAATTAGGAAATGTGAAGTAAACGGTCTGTGTTTTCATCATCAATCTTTTTAACCAAATATTCAAGGATAGCTTCTCTAACCGAATGCCTTATATGACAGCGTAGGTACGTACAACAGCTGTTTTGCAATGAATATATGAAATGTTGTAGCATACGAATTATAAAACGAAAATTTTCATGTGATGCTGCATAATTTTTCATGAGACAATTATTGGTATCTTTAATGGGATGAGTTTTTAGGTTGAAAAAATCTTGTTTCACCGAAAAGTTCATTTACAGATGGTAACTTGATCAATGGGGGTATCATTTTAACGGCCAGTCACAATCCTGGTGGCCCAAAAGCAGATTTTGGTATAAAATTTAATTGCGAAAATGGTGGTCCGGCACCAGAGAAAGTAAAATTTTATTCCCTAGTTGAACAGGACTCTCAAATTTACCGCATGAAAACTTGAAACTTTTATGTTCTATGAGGTTTAAGTTTCATAATTAAGTAGCTGTTATAGTTGACGGAAGCTATCTATACGCTGACCAAAAATATTTCGGAATATTATACTTGCCACGATTTGCATGCCGACTTCACTAAAATCGGAAAAACTAATTATGATATTGATGGTCATGGTATTTTTACGATACATGTTATTGATTCGGTGAAAGATTATGTTCAACTAATGGAACAGATATTCGATTTTTCAAAGGTTAGCAATATTCCTTTACTTCTCCACAGTTTTTGCTCTGTTTGAAGACATGATATGGAACAGTCCAAGGAGTCCAAGAACAGTCCAGATATCAGATGGGACACTTCAAATATATATTGCCTAATTGTTTCTTAAAATCGATAAAGTTTGTTGCAGATGAAGGAGTTGCTTAGTGGTCAAACTATGGGACAGTTCAATGTGTTAATCGATAGTTTATATGGAGCTACAGGACCATATGTAAACACTATTCTAGTAGAAAAACTAGGTGTAGATCCAAAATTCATGTCTCACACAACTCCAAAGCCTGATTTCGGTGGTGGCCATCCGGATCCTAATTTGACTTATGCGAAACAGTTAGTTGATACGATGAGGAAAGGCGAACATGATTTTGGTGCTGCATTTGATGGCGATGGGGTAAGCATTTGTTAACTTGGATGTTTAACTCTAAATTAGTTTTACTTTGAACTCTATGAAACTTCATTTATTGCTGTGACTGCGCTAGACTTATTAGTAATTATTAGAGAAGGTGCTTGCTTAAGTTTATTATCGTGTAAATGTTCTCCTTCCTCTTCTAGTACCCTCACTCTTTTCTAAATCGCACATAAATTAATTTAAACCCAATTTTTTCAAGTATGCTTTACTGGTGTAACTTGGTGCAAATCGTAAATGCTTATCTGGCCTGTTTCAGGATCGAAATATGATTCTTGGCAAAAATGGTTTCTTTGTGACCCCTAGTGATTCGCTTGCTGTAATTGCTGCAAACATGAAGTGTATTCCATATTTCCAGCAGCATGGCATCAAAGGTTATCTGATTTCTATTTTAAAAGTTCGCTCATCAAAGCTATTAGGAATGGAATTTTAGGGCTATCCAGATTTCATTTTAAAGTTTCAACTTTTTACTCGTGTTTGTTTCACTTATTTTTTAGCTTGTTTTCAGTGCATCCACTCTCGCCTCTAACATGGAAATTTTATAGGTTATGCAAGAAGTATGCCCACGGCGGGAGCAGTAGATCGAGTGGCCAAAGAAACAGGTTTACCGATGTATGAAACTCCAACTGGATGGAAGTTTTTTGGAAATCTTATGGATGCTGGTAAGTTATCGCTATGCGGTGAGGAATCATTTGGCACTGGCTCTGATCATATAAGGTGAGTAGATTAATTAATGGTAGGGTCACTGATCAGAAAATATCTTTTATTAAGAAATTATAGCTCTTACTTTATAAAGTTGAATATTTTTTTAAATGTTGAGATCTTCATGGTTTTCTGTTTGAAATCTTGACTAAGGTATTTTCAGTTCAACTCCTTAATTTTTAGCTTTTCTATACATAATAAATCACTGCATACTGTAGGACTGAAGGAAGAGGAAAAGTGTCGAGATACTTGAGGAGGAAAAGCATTTAGGTTATGGCTACTTGTTTCAAAATTTTCCTAATTTTAGGCAGGTTTCTGTGGAAAAGATGAAAGAATATATAGTTGGGTGAATAATAACTTTAGAATGATACTGTAGGGAGAAGGATGGCATTTGGGCAGTACTTGCTTGGTTGCAAATTTTGCAAGAAAAGAAGCAGTCAGTTGAAAATATTGTTAAGGAACACTGGTCAAAATATGGTCGAAATGTTTTTACGCGGTATTTCAATTTTTATATTTCATTTTATCTGCATCACATGAACAGAGGAAATTTCAACTTTTCTACGTAACATGCTGCATGTTTTATTTTCGAGGATAAAGATAATATAAGTGTCATGTCTGCATTGATTACTCCTTTGATACTTTTTTCTCAATTATTACAAGCATTCATTTGGCCAATTATTTAGAAATGATTTAAGGCAATTTTTTAAATTTTTTATATGTGGTGGAATGCAATTTAATGTTCTCGTAATGTAGGTATGATTATGAAAATTGCGATGCATCTGGAGCAAATCTGATGATGACATTCATCGAATCCCAAATGCAAGCATTCATTGGCCAGAAATTTACGGCAAATAAGGAAATTTTCGTTGTCAGACAAGCTGATAACTTTAGCTATACTGATCCTGTGGATAATTCTGTTTCGCAGAAGCAGGTATGTGATTAAAATGAATTTCAAGATGAACTTAATAGTTTTTCAAATTATATGGGCTGTCTTCTTTTTTATTAAGTTGTCTTGGTCGCTCATCGGTTTTTTACGTCTTTCGTAATAATGAATCAGTATACTAAAGGATTAATAATAAATAGGAATTTAGATTTATCCTCTTGGAAATTGGCGGATTGTCGAAATGAAATCTTTTGCTAATGAATGAGTGAGATTTAAGAAGACAATTGCTACATAGACGCAGCCTTTTTAATGCTATCATTGTGCTTTTAAGTAGATGGTAACTTATTTATATAATATAAATGTAATATTAATTATGGTTGATTAATGTGGAAATAAAGGAGTAGCCGCATTTTCACCTCTCAAACTTTTAAAACTTTAAGTATTTCACTTGTGCGATTCGGCTTCATCAAGCTGAATAACTCATATGAAGAATGAAGAAATCTTGTATTAGTACTGAAATACACAGCTGAAATCTGCATGAAGGTTTCATACCTTATGTACATAAGTACAACTGATAGATTCGCTGGTTGATTGGAAGGTTAAGTTGATCGGTTCCGAAGAGTGTATCGATTCTATAAATTATAGAATTATGGTTTATAGGTTATTCATAAATAGCTTTTTGGTCTTTGGGAGTTATAGTATTTACGGCGTCCTGACATCTTTTTTCAAAATAACTTTTTGGGATATTTTTTGAATAGGTTTTCAGGGTATACGTATTCTGTTTGAAGACGGCAGCCGTACGATATTCCGTTTGAGTGGTACTGGTTCACTGGGTGCAACAATTCGTTTGTATGTTGATTCATTTATTGATGCGTCAGATAAACAACGACTTTTTCTAAGTTCAGAGGTCTGGTTTTGCTGCTTATTAAATATCATATTTTTGAGGACTTTGTGCAAAATGAAACAGTTGAAATGTACAATTTTTTTGCAAAAGAATGGAAAGCAGAGATTCCATTGTATTTAATGTGCTTTACTTTCATATTTTTGGATTCTATCCAATTTTGAATTTTATGGTTTAGGACATAATCTTCGAAATCCTCCTTCTGCTGTTCATTTTCATAATGCAGGAATATACTGAGTTAATGACCACAAAACTTGTTCTTTGAAATTTCAGGAACTTTTGAAACCTTTGGTTCTTGTGGCTCTTCAGATAAGTAAATTGGAACATTTCACTGGCCGTGACGCTCCTACAGTTATTACGTAAAATTTGGAAAGTATGAATAGCTACCATCGTCATGTTACGATATCTAGAAATAGCTACATCGTTCTGTTACAATACCTAGAAAGCATTTCTCTCTGATTTCGTTATTTTATCGTAGAAAAGCAATTTTTTGATAGATTTCCTGATAGATCTTTCTTCCATTGCTTCGAGATTCCTGTGTTTACTCAACTGGAATTATTTAACTTTCTAAAAAAGAATCTGCACAATTGGCTGATGTCAATGTGTTTTTCCCTTCGCACATATTTTCTTTCTGAATTTGTTATAATTGCGAATAAAATGCTATAGCTTGTTGTATTTACTCGTTGTATCAGGTTTTTGGCCTTAATCGTAAATTCAGAAAACTCAGAGTTCCAAATTATTTAAAGTTCTGGGTGACTTAATGTAAATTCATTTTGTACAATGAATTTGAAATGTAATAGGAAGTAAGTTGAAAATATACTTGTGCAGGGAAATGCGATTTTGTGTGAAATTGAGTAGAGAGAGCAGAGAGTGTGAACACAGCAGGTTTTTCTTTTTGAAACATGAGTTATACTTCAGGTTACACTGCGAAAGGAAGTTTCATGTGGTATATCTTTGGTGGTATTAGGACTGTATTTTTGTTGTTTTATGTGGATAATATTAAAGAATTTGATAGAAACATCATTGCGTAAGAAATGAGGAACGATGAGTAGGGGTATCGTTCCGAAAGGTTAGTTTTCTTAAGGAAGGAATTTCGTAATGAAATTTCAAAACAAGAAAAACCAAAGGTGGGGTATTGCTTCTACGATTCAATGTCAGCGCAACTTTAAGACTGTGGATTTTAATAATCCAGAAGTATTAAATTTATTCTGATTGAAATCTTCGTTTTACTTGGAATAATCGATAGACTTTACGATAGTGAATGGTCTTGGCCGAGAAATTTTGTATAAAATTCGCAAAATTATGGAAATTAGAGATAAGCCGGAAGATGTTTTAAATTTTTTTGAGATTCGAATTTTAAGAACTATGTGGTGAAATTCTAAGTATCCTATTCATTGGGTAATTGGATCTGATGTCTCCCTACACATCACGGGGAAACAGCGACTTTAACGAGGGTTAGGTTATATTAAAGATAGGCAATACTGGAGTATTGCCGTCGTGAGGATTTTGAGATTTTAAAGTCGAGAATCTTTATGGGTCAGTTTTGAAGTACGCAACGTGTAACGCAATGTCAGTTAGAATGTTACAAACAGAATAGTTTTCTGTTAATATAGTTTATGCGAAATTTTTATTTATACTCTTTTCCGACTATTGATGTGAGATATGATCCGAAAAAAAAAGGTCGTTTGAAGGAGGCAGTACTTATCACCATTGCTGCTGTAGCTGCAACTGTTCCTTTTTCATAGGGAAGTTCAGTTTTCTATTTTGTATAAAATTTTTCTCACTCTGTTCTTATTTGCTTTATCTGTTTCTTTTCTTTCTTTTTTGAAATTCTGGATAGGGTTTATTATCGCTATAATTTTTAATGCTTACATTTTATGTTTCAAGTTTTTTTTCTTTTCCATTCGATGAGATCCAAATTTCCGATCCTTATAAGGATATCAGAATGAAAATAAAACCTATTTTTGAGAATTTTTCTCACAAAACAAATCTGTTTGTTCCTAAATATTTGGAAAAAGTAGTCAAATAAAGAGTTCGCTAAAACGACAGTAGTATAAGAGCTTAGTTCAAAAAATTAGTTCCAATGGTAAAGTAGCATAATTATGTTGGTAAAGAGAACTGTAATGGATTTTTACGAGGAGCAGAAAAAAATTGGTGTGATTTTTGTATCTGGTGATCAAACTTAAATTATTCAGGATTGTCAAACACAACCCGTGTAGTTTTTGAATAAAACCACTCCTTTAGGTATCTAATCGAAGCTTGAGAAATGCATACTTCTGTTTGATTATGCATCAGTTTTTACGTGTGAAAAGCGTACGAAAAAACAGAAATGCATTAGCGCGTTCGTTAGAATATGTTAGTTTCTACTACACTCTGTATTGCAACAAGTATTTGAGTTATTAAGACTTATCTAATTTTAATTGCCAGAAAAGAAATATGATTGGACGATCAGGATTGTTTGCCGATATTATGTGCCCTTATGATGAGGATTGCATTAGACCACATTGCCATTTTTGGCATTCTAAAGGTTTTGTTATAACTTTACAGCTTTATCGTAATTTATCCGATTTTTAATATTTTTAAATGCAAGCAACACCTTCCTCAAAATTATGTTTTATGTAGATTTAATATATTTTAAAGGATATTTTTTCATGTGTATTTAATATATAACTTTTAGACGACATATCACAACAAGAACAACAGTCCTCCGTGTCATTGATGTCAGCAACTCTACCTGAGCAACCATTTGTGGGCTATGTTGGTTATATGGAGAACCAAAAAACAACCATCGAAACAACTATGCCACTTTGCAGTCAGTCTATTTACGCTCCTCTGGATCCAGTCGTATACACGCAGCGGCCATCAACATCGGCTGTACAGCAGTCCAGTGGTATGTTCTACTTATAATTTCATAATTTCGGGTGCTTCTATGTTTGTCCATTCATACAGAAATCAGTAAAAATTATTCATCATACTGCAATAAGGTAATATGGAGACTGGCTTTTAAAGTTAGGAGCAAGTCGCAACTGCTATTTAATGTTCGATTTTGATTCCAAATGTCATAGTAATGGGCATTAAAGTATATTTCATCATGCTTCAAAGTGGAATATTCCATTTTTTTAAAGTCACTTACGTTCCTACAAAAATCACTGCACGGCCGATGTGTAAACGAATGCCTTCACCGGAAATCCCGAAACCAAGAATGCCAGTGGAATTATCAGTAGATGACATATTGGATCCCGCTAATGACAAGCCGAAAACTTCTGTTGCTCCATCTATCAATAATTTGAGTTTAATTGAAGTAAGTTGTTAAGGATTTGGTAATAAAATGCATCTAAAAATCCGGGAGTCAAATTCGTAATTCGTGATACTTTTATGGCTCTTCTTAATATCCTAAGAAACAAATCGTTGCAGTTTGTTTGCTTTTTATTTAGACTGCGAGCCAATCTCTTCGCTGCTTTTTAATCAAACGTTTTGGAAGATGAAGCTGAAAGTTTAATGCATCCTTTTATATTCTCAATTTGCTTAAAAAGTAGTGCATTTCTCTGAAGCTTCTTAGAACTTTGGGATTTTCCACTCTTGTCTTTGAGCTTTTTTTGGAATTAATTCCATTAAAATCGTTTTACAGAATACTAAGGTATCTGAAATGAGCCTGAATGATTATGCGAAATCAGTAGCTGATATTGATACACGAATCGAAGAATTACAGCGAAAGATCGAAATTGAACGTCAGCAGAAGGAAAAGATAGTTCACGATATTAGAGCACTGGTTAAGCCACCAGCTGCTGTTAATTCAGACTCTCTAACTCCAAAGAAACATTCAGTTAGTTGCTACGTTGTCTGTTTTTGGCTTACTCAGTTAGCATAATATCTTATTTGTCATGCAGAGTACAATACCTATTTTTCGAAATGCTTTGCAGCTCAACTTTCTGTGAGGAGATAATGCATGGATGAATTTAAGCAGATTAAACTAGGATAGATTAAGGAAAGGAAAAGGTGTAATGCATCAAAAACAGGATGATGGATGTGTAGAGCATGTGGTGCCTTCAATATATGCATTATATTATTTGCGAAGGAAAAAACTCTGAATTTTTGTATTCAATTTTAGGGTAGTGTCGGTTTCTTCTATCCCTTATTCTTGCCTTTTGTTTAAAATCTTTCGACTTCGAGTATGAAACGCTTCATTTAGGGTTTGAACTCGAAATCGAAACTAACCTATACAGGTGGTTACACACCAACACCAATCGCTTTGTTGAAGTCAGTGCAAAAAGCCAAAAATGAAGCTCGACAAAAGAAAAAATCAAAAACTGAGGAGAGCGATAATGAAAAAGAGGATGTGGTAAACTTGAAAAACAAAGTAAAAGGAGGGAAAATGAAAGACAAAAACAAAAATGTGAAAGTGAAAGAAGTTACGAATGTAGAGGCAAGTAAGCTGCGCGTGGCATTAAAACAGCAACAGTCAACTGAAGGAAAAACACAATCAGTAGCAAAAAAGAAACTTGACGAACAACTTTCTATCGAAGATCTTTTCGAGACCGGTGTACGTTTATTTGCATTTACTGTTTATTTATTTGTTTACTGCTGTTGAAGCCGATCAGATACTTCATAACGCAGAACTGTGCAATGAGAGTATGGCAATTCATTTTCCTGGGATGTTTGAAACATACCTAAAAGATATTATCGTTGTTGGCCGGTTAAAGCCGGTTAGTTCAATTTTCTACTGTTTTATCGACTGGTCTGACTGATAAACCTTCAACAAGTTCTTATTTCTTCACAAGATTCAATTGACTAACATACACGTTAGTTTCGGTTTAGGTACCAGCTACAAAAAAGCAAAGGAATATCGACAATGATGTGAAATCAAAAGCAGGCAATCTTCCTGAAAAAATGGAGAAACAAAAAGAAATAGAAATCAAGATGGAAGTGGAAAAGCGAATAACACATAGTAGCGTGCAGGTATTCATTACTTGTAGTTATTTCCGGTAATTAATCAAACTTTGTTTGGAATTGTATTGGGTTTTTGTGGTCAACTATTAGCCTTGCGTATTTGTGTCACATGTATTGGCGATGAATATGAGTGAATCAGTGCTTCAGCCGACTATACAAATGTGTGTGACCGCAACCAAAGTCCGTGCACCTACAATGGCTCAGCAACTGATGAATCGCTACCAAAAGCTGCAGAAAGAAAAAGAGGAATTGTTGAAGAAGTAAAATTTTATAAATTCTTCACTGGATGAAGGACAGCATTCATTAGCTGATCATCTAAATTCTACTTTCTAGCATGAAACTCAAAGAAGAAGTAAAAGCCAAGAAGATTACAACAGCTGAAGAAAAGTATGATTATAAATTGGGCGCAGTAGCGGCAACTCTCGGTAAAGGCGAAAAACGAATGGCACATGCTCCAAAAGTATGCTGTTTGGTACTACCATCATCATCATGATTATTCTCATTATAACATTTGCTGAAGCGGCAGTATCGAACATCAGTAAAGCAATATAAAATTGTGATGCCATCTGACCTTTTGATTTAAGCTTGTAAGAATAGTCTAAGAGTAATATGATTCTCTTTTGTCATTGTCATCCATCTTTATGGCAAGACATTTAGACTAAATTATATGAATAGTTATCGCTACATTAGCATCAGACTCAATTTGCACTGTAAATACACTAGGGGATAGAAGATGTCTTCTTTGTTGAGATAAAGGCTTTTGCAGTATTTTCGTTGATGCTGATTTTTGTAATTTTTCCAGATATCGAAATCCACCAAAGTAAATTTAGTACCACTAGATCCATATTCTTGTGGTAAAGTCCCATACGCTTTACGTGCCCGTTATTTAAGTTTGTTTTACATCGAATGTCAGAAATTTTGTGGTTCGATGAGTGATGCCGTAGTTCAGGTTAGTATGGTTGTTGCCTTTGTTGATCTCTCCAGCCCTTTGAATTTCGATTTCCATGATAAAATAAACACTTACTTATGGATATTTCCAAAGCGCATAAGAAAGCGCATTCAGTTTTTTGGCTTCTAGTCGGCAAATAGAATGGCTGTTTTTATTTTTGTTACTTATGCAGTTTTTTAATGCTAATAAAAGCTCAGGCTCAACAAGAAGAAAAAACAATAAAGGATCGAGCTGTGACAAAGGGCGGCTATACAAGTGCTGCAGTGAATGTTCTACGACGTTTGCGTGATGTTAATTCACCACAAGTTGCAGGTTATTTCCAACGTTTTTTTTCTTACGTTCGAGTTATGAGAATTGCTGCCGTGCTCCTTCAGTTCTCAACCATTAACATTTTTGCAATAAATGAAATGATGGGAATAACCTTATGCATAGAGTAATTTTTAAGATGTTTGGCGAAACAGATTCGTGTAAATACGATATATTATGTTACTTTTGTACTTTATTAAAAAGTCAGGTACTGCAGAAGTATATTGATTTCATGGATGGTTGCAAAATAATTATTTTAATAGCAATTTCCACATATTTTCTGTTATTTCATTTTTTTGTGAAAATCTTGACAAGACTAGAAGTTCTCGTGCTGGGTGCTTACCACATGGTACTCAAGCTTTTCATTTTTTGACAGTTGGGTGAATTAAAGTAAACTTTATACGGTTAGAAGACTCGAACCCAGAGACGTTTCGAATGCTGCTCGGCTCTGCTGTTACTAAGACATAATGCCCTAAACCTTTACGCTGTTCACGTATTGCTGACGTGTTAAGGCAAATTATGTTAAGGCAAATTATTTTTATTCTTTAATTTGGCTTAAATTGAAGTTCTATTTTTTTTTCATCACGCAATTCAATTTTTCTCTGAAGATTGAGTTAAATATTAACACTGTTTTACATCGTTGCATCATTAATTTGTTAAGATTCTTTACGGACTAACTAACTCTATTCTTTTGCAGCATTAAAATCTGTGTCACATTCAGCTATCCTTGCTGGACGTCATCACGGATCCATCACAGTTGGTCAGAGAAAGTATTCAGCTCCTAGGAAACAATCCGTTAGTGAAAGGTTAACGTTATGGCATGAGAAGTTTTTTGATATATCGATATCAACATATTTCGACTTCGTTCTGTCATCTGGAAATTAAAATGCGGAACTTGTGGCTTATCACTGTTATAAAGCCGAATAGCGATATTTGTTATAATGGGAAGGATTTTAGTAAAATTTGACATTTATAGTTTTTGTTACATAGTCATGTAATTACTTTGCAGTGAATTCTACGGGTTGCTGCTTTCGAAGTTTGTTTTAGACGAGCAAAAATTAGAACAAAATGGTTTTCCTTTATGGGAAGGCCCTGATAAAAAAAGGGTGAAGATCAAAACATCCGAATTAGATTGTAAAAAGAAATTGTTTGTAGAAGAAAGTGGTAAGTTTTCATGTTATTAGCTTTGGACTTGTGTACTTATCTGCGTAATTTCTCCTTCTTAGTTAAATTCTTACTTGTTTCATTTCATAGGTTGGTTTTCGACCTTAAACCTTTTGGTCTGTTCTATATTTTTGCAAGATTTCCCTTCCATTACAGTTCACTACTGTTTTTAGATCTGAAAAGGATATGTTGTCGTTGTGGCGCTGAATTTTCTGTTACACCGAAAGGTGAATATGCTGCACTGAAGCAGTGTGTATACCACTGGGGAAAAGCATTTAAAACAAAAAGTCCGCCTGTTTTTTTTTAATGAAATAATAACTATCAATTAGATTAAAATGAAAGGGATTTTTGGCTGCTAATTGTTATTGCCATTGGAAAATACGATTTTTCTCTTCTTTGAATTCGAAAACTGTTTTAATCACTTATTATTACTATCATTACTATTATTATTACTACCATTATTATTATTATTATTAT